TTTGGGGCGGTTATCATGGTGGTGGTTGAATTGAGACGAAAAGTAAAGTGGGGTTGGAGAGTAGAAAACAATGATTTCGGCCGGGAAATTGGGTGGTGGTGGACGGGAACCTTTCAACTGCACGAAAACATGGATCATCATCATCAGGGAAGGGCCAATGGCTACTGGGGATGGGGGAGAAGCTGATATCCGTATTTTCTGCTGCATTTTACACATTCACGCATATTAAGTACAAATCCCAGGCACATTAAACACAACACTCACGTACATTATTTAATTTACTAGTAATTTACTAGTAAATTTAATGCAAATAGTCTAATATAATGACTACATTATTTATTCTTTTTAAAGGAAAATAAATATAATCATGCATAGTTCTGATGAGAACTGATTGTATTGTATTTACTGAACTTGATTACAATGAGATCAGATGATGTGAATATATAGAATAGAGAGTCACAGTGTGACAATGTAAGAAGTAGAGAGTCACAGTGTGACAAGGATAAGAAGTTCTAAACAGACTCATCTACATAGAGTCCTAATACTCCCCCTCAAGCACAGTGTATACTAGTAACCAGTAGCTTGTCCCTTAAGGAAGAAAATCTAGGTCCAGGCAGAGCTTTGGTGAAGATATCAGCAAGTTGATCCTTTGTGGAGATGAAGTTGACTTGGATATCGCCCGAAGCTACTCGATCACGAACAAAATGATAATCAATCTCCACATGCTTGGTGCGCGCATGAAAGATTGGATTGACACTCATATATGTAGCTCCTAGATTATCACACTATAATTTTGGAATGGAAATACCCGAAATCTGTATCTCACGCAGTAATGACATAATCCATAGAACCTCAGCACAAACATCTGCAAGAGCTTTGTATTCAGCCTCAATGGATGACCTGGCAACAGTTCTCTGTTTCTTGCAAACCCATGATATAAGATTACTCCCCAAGAAAACAGCAAAACCACTCGTGGATTTTCGATCATCAGGACAACCAGCCCAATCAGAATCAGAGAAAGCATGAATGTCTCTAGATGAGCACCGTCGTATGCGTAAACCATGATCAACTGTTCCCTTAACATACCTGAGTACCCGTTTGAGCTGCTCCCAGTGTGATATGGTGGGAGCATGCATATGCTGGCATAACTGATTAACTGCAAAGGATAGGGCAGGTCGTGTAACAGTGAGATATTGCAGTGCTCCAGCTAGACTCCTGTACTATGTGGGATCATCATATAGATCTGAATTGAAGGGGACAATTTTCGTGACAGAGATAGGTGTAGAAAGGGGTTTGCATTCAGACATTCCAGCCCGTTTTAAAATATCATTCATATACCGTTGTTGAGATAAAATAATCCCATTGTCACTCTTAACTGTTTCAATACCCAGAAAGAAATTTGGTTCACCAAGATCTCTGATTTTGAATGTAGCAAGACAGTTTGGACAAGAGCTGAGACATAATACCCTGATCACTTCCCATTACAAGAATGTCATCCACGTACACCAATAGATAAACCAAAGCAGAGTCTTTAGAGTAATAGAACAGAGAGACATCTGTCTTGGATGCTTGAAAGCCAACCGATAGTAAGAACGTATGTAGTCGATTAAACCAAGCTCTGGGAGCTTGTTTTAACCCATACAGAGATCTTTTTAACAAACAAACATGATTCGGGAAGTTAGCATCAATATAACCAGGGGGTTGCTCATATAAACTGTTTCAGCCAGATTACCATTCAGAAAAGCATTATGAACATCTAGTTGTTTGATAGACCACCCAGATGATAAAGCTAGAGATAGAAGGAGTCTTACAGTCGTAGGCTTTACCACTGGACTAAAAGTGTCGAAGAAGTCCTGACCTGGAACCTGATTAAAACCTTTCGCAACCAGCCTGGCTTTATGCCTTTCAATAGCACCATCAGCCTTTCTCTTCGTACGAAACACCCATTTACAGCCAATAATATTCATACCTACAGTGGGTGGAACTAGAGACCATGTGTGGTTATGCAGGAGAGCATTGAATTCTTGGTCCATGGCTTCACGCCACTCAGGATATTTGACAGCTTGAGAGTGACATGTGGGTTCCGTGGGATGCACTTGAGCTGCTAGAGCAAAAAGAGGAGCATCTGCGTTGCTGCAAGTGGCCATAGAGTGAGTACGGACATTGGGCCTGATGGACCGCCCACGTGGACGGCCTCGCCGGCGAGCAACAGGCTCTACAGGATCACCCGACGAGGCAGCCTGTCCGGGATCCACGGCTGGTTCGAATGAAGCAGGTAGCGGCGGTTCATCATTGGACACGACAGGAATAAGTGTGCTGTGACTGAGAACAGATTCCGCCCAAGGTCCATAAAACGGAGTAGATAGATCCTGCAAAGAAGTTTTAGTAGCAAAGGGAAAAACTTCTTCATCAAATCTGACATACCTGCATGTGTAAATCTTATTAGTATGTAAGTCCATGCATCTGTACCCCCTAAATGACTCAGGATAACCTAGGAAGACACATGGAGAAGACCTGTATGACATCTTATGACGATTATATGGTCGAAGATGAGGGTAGCATAAACACCCAAAGACACGAAGAAAAAGATAGGAAGGAGGGGATTTATGTAACAGGAGATGAGGACTGGAGTTATTTAATACAGAAGATGGCATTCTGTTAATTAAATAGACAGCAGTCTCAAAGGCAAAATCCCAAAATTTCAAAGGAACAGAGGCATGAGCTAGAAGAGCCAGAGCAGTTTCAACAATGTGACGATGTTTTCGTTCAACACGACCATTCTGTTCATGTGTATAGGCACATGATTGTCTATGTTGAATTCCTAATTGAACAAACGAAGAATGCAACTTTCTGTACTCAGCACCTAAATCAGACTGAATGGCCTTTATTTTGCAATTAAAGGACCGTTCAACAAGAGTACGAAATTTATCAAAGACGACATAGAGATCAGACTTTAATTTCATAGGGAAGAACCATGTATAACGAGAATAGTCATCCACAAAGATCACAAAGTAACGGAAGCCAGATGTAGATAAAGTGGGCACAGGACCCCAAATGTCTGTGTAAATAAGATCCAGTACATGAGAACTAGAGGAAGCAACACGAGGGAGGGGAAAACGAGCAGATTTGCCTAATTGACACGCATTGCATAAAGAATTAGTGCAATGAATATTATCACGAGATCCAGTAACTAAACAAGATCGAAGTATATGGCTAAGAACACGGTTATGAGGATGACCCAGACGATTGTGCCAAGTGGAAGCCGTCAGCGTGCGGAAAGAAACGCTGACGGAGACGAACTAGGTAATGGAAGTGTGTATAGTCCCGCAGAACTATTGCCCCGAAGAAGTATTTCCTTGGTATTGATATCCTTCACAACAAAAAAAAAAGAGGGGTGAAACTCAAAAAAGACTTTATTATCGGATGCAAACTTCTGAACAGATAATAAAGAATTAGACAAACGTGGAACGTGAAGTATATCAGACAATGTGAATGATCTAGAAGGGGTATTAAAAGAAGCATGGCCAAAATGACTAATAGATAAACCCATACCGTCACCGACACGCAAGGTGTCATTGCCAACATATTCTTCTGAGGTGGTCAAAGCAGCAATGTCCGGAGTAACATGATTAGTTGCCCCTGTATCTGGGATCCATGTCTGAGGAGTACCAACATCTGAATTATCTTGATATGTTAGATTGGCCTGAGGTGGGGAATCATACCGGTTATAGCATACATGAGCCTCGTGACCAGTCCGCTTACATATCTAGCACTGAACTTGATTGCCACCACTGTTGCGTCCGCGACCGCGGCCACCACGCCCACGGCCACCTTGCTGTCTACCGCCACCACCACGATTGGACCCGCCGTTGCCACCGCCTGCTCGTTGACCGCCGCAACGGTTCTGACCTCCGCGACCTGATTGGCCGCCACCGCGCTGAACAGCAAGAGCCGCCGGAGCACCGCCGTAATCACGGCTGGCGATAAATTCCTGGGCGCCGAGGAAGTCCGCCAACTCCGGGAGTGTGACCGGCTGCCCACGGACGGCAAGAGACGCGGTGAGGGCACGGAATTCCGGTCTCAAGCCGCGAAAAACAAAGAGATTCTGATCGTCGAGGGAGATGACGCGGCCGGCGAGGGTGAGCTCTTCAACAATCACCTGAGCTCGCCCGATGTAATCCGCAACCGACGAATCACCCTGGTCCAGTCCCTGCAACTGGCCGAGAAGGTTTAACGCGCGGGCGCGGGAGGAAGACGACAACGTCTGAACAATGGCCTCCCAAAGGGCACGACTCGTGCGACGTCCGACGGCGATTGGCATGACCTCGTCGAAGAGGGAGGAGACAAGCATGGACAACAATGCTTGATCTTGACGCATCCAAACGGCATAGGCGGGGTTCGGCCGTGGCATGGCTTCGGCGGTGTCGGCGTCGACAGCAAGAAGAACAGTCGGTGAGGGTTTCGTACCATCAACAAACCCCATTAGGTCATGCCCGTGAAGAAACGGGACGACTTGCGTACGCCAGAACAAATAATTCTTGTAGGTTAACTTCGTACTGATGAAGTGATGTGCGGTGGATAGCGACACAATTGACGACGAACTTGACGACATAGCAGCATCTATCAGACACGATCCGTTCGGAGGAATTAACAGATCCGTCAGCCATAGGGACGAGAGACAAAGAAAAAACCATAGCTTACTGATACCAGATGTGAACTGATTGTATTGTATTTACTGAACTTGATTACAATGAGATCAGATGATGTGAATATATAGAATAGAGAGTCACAATGTGACAATGATAAGAAGTAGAGAGTCACAGTGTGACAAGGATAAGAAGTTCTAAACAGACTCATCTACATAGAGTCCTAATAGTTCTAAATAAATATATATGTGAGTCTTTACTTTTTTACTTCTTTATTTAGGTAGAATTCCAAACAATTGTATATTGTAAGTACTATTTATGTGCCATGTGTATGTATGTACACTTATATTTTTTTGAAAACTAAAGGAAAAGCTTGTATTAAATTAAGTGTGCAATACAACTGGGAATAGAAATAGACCAACTAGAAACGCCAGTATGAGAACGAGCATCCCTCGCAAGAGCGTGGGCTAACTTATTCACTGACCGAGAAATGTAACTAAAAGACACCACTTCAAAGTGTCGACGAAGATCACGACAGTCACGGATTACACATCCTGCGTATGAAAGATCTTGGAAAGCGCCATTAATAAACCCGCAAACAACTTGACAATCAGTAAAAACCTGAATTCTTGTGAGACCTTTCTCTCTTGACCAAGAAAGGGCTTCCTTCACAGCAAGCGCCTCAGCCAGATGGGGATCGTTTAGGCATCGAAGCGGACCACTCTTCGCTGCTATAAAAACATCGTTACCATCCATGACTAATATGCCATAAAAAGCTTGGTTCAAATCGGAGAATACTGCAGCATCAACAAATACCTTCACTGTATCTTGGACTGTAAGTACATTATGGGAATTGGGTTCAACAGTAACACTTTCACCATGCATGTTATCACTCCATTCATTAAACATTCTAATGGCAGCATACCTTACCCTAGAGATAAGCCATGATTGGTTGTTCCAAACCACTTCATTTCTTTCCTTCCATATACTCCAACAGATCGCCACCCATCTTGTTACCACCTCTAGAGTATCCTGTGACAAATGAGTAAACAACCAGTGACGAAAATTATCATTTCCACTTGGCAGTGAACCAACTGTTATATCATTCCAAAGGGGAGCCACCTGCGTACAGTCAAAGAAGAGATGGGTTATGTACACTTATATAATTTATCAAAAAATCAAAAAATAAGATTAAAATCAAAAAATAAGATTAAAATCAAATAGTGAGGCATGTCGGGTTGTAAATGGTATTTACAAATCCAAACTCATCCATCTTTGATAAGACGTGAAGGGTTTTATTCTTGTCTTTGAGTATGAAACAACCTTAAATATTTAGGCCAACTGTCTTATTCAATAAATCAGAGGTACCTATAATTCAGCAAAATAAATACTCACTATGTTTGATGGTAAAAACTGATTACACCTAAAAATAAAAAAATAAATAAAAAATAAATAAAAAAAATAAACCAAACACATCTTGTGCCGGCATAGATTAGAAAATTCACTCCAATCCAAAACTAATTCCCTTATTTTTCTTTTTTGGAGTTAGGCTATTACTTAAGCATAGTCATACGGAGTTAGGCTGTCACTCGAAGCACGCCCATTTTTCTTCTCCCCCACTTTGTTGACTTAAAGAAGATCAACCCATACAACCTCAAGATTATATCAATTACTATTCTTGTTGAAAGTATCAACCTGAAAAAATTATTTACCGAGAAAAAAAAAAAAAGAAACAACAATAAACAGAGTTGCACCGGTTGATTTTTATGAGTAGCTTCAAGAAGATGTCCAATTGAAAAGAAACAACAATAAACAGAGTTGCACAGGTTAATTTTTGTGAGTAGCTTCAAGAAGATGTCCAATTCGATACAGTTTCCACACCTAGCTAGTAGCTTTCTTCATCGTCAGCATGATCAATTGGTTTTAAAAACAATTTTCTAAATGGAAATAGAATTGTCGATCATCTATTTAACTATATATCACTATAACCACATTTTGAACATTATCTACGTACATATATAGTTATTTATTACTATGATTACATTTATTATTATATTCTTTTACTTATCACTATCTTCTATCTTTTTTAATTGCATTTACTTATATAAACATATCTAATTTGCTTACGCTTAAAAAGTTAGCAAACATTATTCACATTATCAAAATTATAACTTGAACTCTACATGAAATTTTAGATTTTGGTTGAATTCAATAGATTATTGGTTCAGATATTTTTAGTTATGTTATATCGTAATACAAGTTTGTTGTGAATATCGGATATTGAAATTTCACATATATTTGATTTCAAAGTAAAAATTATATATATATATATATATATATATATATATATATATATATATATATATATATATATATATATATATATATATATATATATATATATTTTGGTTCATGTGAGGTCAGGTCTTCCCGTGCGGTCACTGCGGCATACACCATTAGGTATGTATAAATGCACCATACAGTGTTCGAAAATACACCAGAATGAAATGTCAAAAAATACACCACACATAATGGTGTATTTACAAACACTGTGTGGTGCATTTGTGCATACTTAATGGTGTCTGCCGCACGGGAAGACCTGACCTCACAGGAACCTGACTCTCTCTCTTTCTCTCTCTCTCTCTCTCTCTCTCTCTCTATATATATATATATATATATATATATATATATATATATATATATATATATATATATATATACACGAACACACATCATTCAAATGAATATATTCAAGAATATTTTAAATATTATCTAACAAAATATTAATATGATCTAAACTAAATTTATTTCCATATGCATCATAGTAGCTTATTCTCCCTAAAAAGTTGAATCTCTAACCCCCAGGGCCCCGCCACGCCCCGGAAGACAGAGCATTTCGGAAGATGAAAACCACGTTGGTGACTGACTCAGGAGACAGGGCCAAATGTTAATGCCCATAAACGATTTGCCCACTATGGGCATAATCTCACACTGCCACCGCCGAGCACTAGTACAGAAACAGTCATTCGCGTTCGAGGAAATGTGCAATTCGCGTCCAAAGTTACTTGGACGCATATGTAAGAGATGCAGATTGTATGCCCAATCTACGTCCAAAAACGCACATAGTAACTATGCGTCTGAAGTTGAACAACACTAGACGCATAAGTAAATTTTAAAAAAGGAATACTATATGCGTCAGCTTTTCATAAAAAAAATAGACGCATATAGTAATTATATATTTTTTCTTGAACTTATTTTTTTTCCAATTTATTTGAGTAAATTTCCAATTTTCCATGTAGTTCTTGCAAAGAAGTCACCCAAAAATATGCGTCCCAAGTTCCAAACTTTTGACGCATATTGTTTTCAATTTAGAAAAGAAAATATAAAATTATAAAGTGGCATTTTAATTACAAAAATGCCACTACCCTCCACTATTCGCGTCCGACGTTTAAACTTTGGTCTCAGATTCTTAGATTTTTTTTTTTATTTTTTTGTACTAATGGAAGTTCAAACCTTGGTCTCATCTCCGAAATACTGCCTACGAAACATTGATTTCTTCTCCCAAATACTGCCTACAGAACCCTTGGATAATATCTATACAACACAAGGAGGGTGTTTGGCAATCAATAGCTGTTAGCTGATAGCTAGTAGTTGTTTTATTTTTATTTTATTTTATTTTATTTTATTTTTGTATTTTGTTTAGTAACAAAACAACTCTTCTTATTGATCAAACAACATTTTACGTACATTCAAGGAAGTATGCCTAATGCCATGAAGACTTATTTATACACTATAATAATCATTTTTCTTCAAATATTATATATCATCTACTTCATGATCGTCAAGAATCCAAGTCCCATCGTCTTGCTGAACCATCCCACTGTTCTTGACAACATACCATTCCGCCGGTGCCATAAGGCTGTAATTACCTTTCAACTGATCGATATTCTTGTTCAAAAGCGCAACGTCAAAATCTCCATGAAGCTTAAACCCTCCCTGAGACCCTTGAAACCCATCAACCCCATGCAAGTAAGTCACCAGAGTGTGCCAGCTTGCCTTAAAGCCGTCCAGATAGTTCGATTTCGAAGCATCGAAGCGAAACTCCATGCCCACATGCTCGTAGGATATTATGGGCAACGTTGTGTTTACTTTGACTCCGAATGGCGGCAGCTTAGGCACGATGTCTTTGGCGTCGGTGAGGCGGAGGATTTTAAGGTTGTCGGCGAGCTTTGAAACGGCGTTCTTGAAGTTTCGTTCCCCTACTTTTGGGCTTGCAAATAGGAAGGCTGTGACGGGAATGGGTGAGTCTTTGTTGATTGGATTGGTTACTAGGTCCACTGCATTTAAGGTTGCCAGTGATGAACCTAAGCTGTGTCCTGCCAGGGTTATGCTCATTTCTTCGTCCTTATATTGCTCCACAAGTCTTCTTACCTCTTCACGAATCTGTATGTTCCATGCATGTCAAACAATTAAAGTAATGTGTGTATCTATAGGAAGACTATACTTTTATTATTTATACAAGGAAAAGTACATTCTCGGTGTCTCAATTGTCAATTTAGGCCTGTATTATTTGCAGGCTTTTTAGCCCGCCCCTACATCTAACTTTAACAGTTCTACTTGCCAGTTAAATTGCGTGCGAAATTTTATAAAGAATTAAAGACCCACATAAATCCTTAAAAATGAATGAAATGTTGATGATCGATTAATTGAAGGATCAGATTAAAAATGTTTTAAACAAAAAAGGGTTTCATGTTTCAAAAAATTGAAACTCTAGAATTAAATTGTATAACAACCAACAATTCATTGATCAAAAGTGTGATTTTCGCTCGAAGAGAAAAAGAATGCTAGGAATTGAAGGGAAGTAAGAGTGTATACTTGAATCGATTCTTGATACTAACAAGGTATATAGGTTTCGAATCGATTCTTGATACTAACAAGGTATATAGGTTGGGTCTGCAAATTATGCCGTGCAACCGTGTGCACCATGTATGCGTCCAACTTAGAAAAAAAAATTTGGTTGCCGTTAACGGCATTATGCTGTGCATAATTTTAATTATATATCCAAAATTAATGAACTATATATCCAGAATTAATGAACTATATATCCAGAATTAATGAACTATATATCAAGAATTAGTGACCTATACATCCAGAATGAATGAATTATATATCCAGAATGAATGAACTATATATCCAGAATGAATTAACTATATATCCAAAATGAATGAACTATATATTCAGAATCGATAAGGTCAATTATGAATGTGTAATTATTAATTTATGAATGTACTGTTGTCAAATTATGAATATATAATTATGAATATATAGTTATGTAATTCTGGATGTAGTTATGTAATTCTGGATATATAGTTATGAAGTTATGGATATATCCTACTGTTTGAATACGAAAGGAAACCGCCTAACGCCGTCAACGGCAATTCGAACGGATTTTTTTTTTTTTTTTAAATGAAACGGCATCGTTTTGCAACCATGTGCACTATTTGCACAGCATAACGATTGGGTTCGGTTGGTTATGGAGAGATCATTTAAAAAAAAAAAAAATTTAAAACCCTAAAATGAACCAAAGTTTAACCCGAGATACCAAATTGACAACATTACACATTTAGGCTTAAAATAATGGAGGAACTGAATTTTTACAAACTGACCATAAAGGACTCCATTTCATAATAGGTAACAATTGAGTGACAAAAAAAATGTAATTTTTCCTTATTCATATATAGGGAAAATTGTAAAAAATGTCCCTCTATAATATGCTCATTATCAATGTCACCCTGAATTATGAGTGGTGTAAATGTTGCCCCTCAATTATCAAAATGGTGCACATATAGCCCCTCCCGTAACGAACATGTGGTTCCCCACCGCTATCCATCTCTGGTACTTCGAATCGAGGGAAGGAAAAAACAACTAAATTACATATTTACTGCGACTTAACGGTGTCTACACTAACGGGGAACCACATGTCCGTTACAGGAGGGGCTATATGTGCACCGTTTTGATAATTGAGGGGCAACATTTACACCACTCATAATTCAGGGGTGACATTGATAATTGGCATATTATAGATGAGCATTTTTTACAATTTTCCCTTCATATATATTATAGGGTAGCCAATG